CGTTTACATTTGTTCGACTCTCTTCAATCCTTCGTGGCTCGATGTGTGATCAGAGTTATATCCGAAGTGGCTCTTATTAGTATCCCGTCGTTCCCCTTTGGTTTCGTCCCTATACGACGTGATGGGTTTTCACATCCTTTTTTTTCTTATGTTACTTGGTATTTCGTAGTATAAGTTAAGGTGTAACGTTTGGAATGTCTTCCATACTTCTTTAAAAAATTTACGGGATTGCGCTAGGAGTCAGGACCCTGAGGCTTCTGCCAGCCTTTAGGGATCCTCACTTTGCTGTGCTGAAGATTTTAAAAGATCTGCATTGCACAGAGGTCACAATAAAGGTAGGGAGAACTTCCGAGGGTAATTAGGGACAACCGGAGGTACACGGTTGAAACCCTTGATTACTTTTATATTTGTTTGGTTGTCGTGGCTAGGGAAAACTGAAATTTTACACTTTATATACTCTCACTTACGTTGCCAAAGTGAATGTTCACAAACGGGAAGGCTTTAGCTGACCTCTGTTTCTAGAAATCTCTTGCGTTTTACAACATTTTTCTCTCTTTCCTCGGCACCTTCCGCACATTTGTCTCCATATCCTGCATTTTTTATATCAGGCTCATTTGAACTCTTCCCATCCTATGAACAGTCATTGATACTTCGTTACTGCTGAAAACAAGCACACCAGACTAATGTTGAAATCAGCCCCGGTTTCCCAAAGGTCGCAGTAAGTCAATAGATAGATAAGGCCGGACCAGGTAGCAAATGAGACACAACGTGAAATCGAAAGGTTTCACGGACATCCCGTCTCTCCACTGTTGGTTTATCCATCGTAGAGGCTCGGATGTAGACCTTTTAGAATATCCTTGATCAGCAAGACTTCTGGGCATCAGGTCAGGCTACAGACAAGTCCATTGACCCGAGAGTATCAATTGCAGATCGTTTGGAAATCCCGCATGTCCCGGAGGTACACTCAATCCAACTCGCAAACATTAGCGTAGTAGAAGTTTTGACACTCCTGCCGCAGGATGACGAGCGGGGGCGGAGCGGAGCTCTGGCGAATGGCGGCTTCCCTATTATGCTGACTAGAATGTAGAGAACTGAGAGTAGAAATGTAGCAGCCTAGGAAATATAAATGACATTTAGGTGATGTACTCCAAGCGATTTAGTAGTAGTAGCACCATCTCCCTTCTTTATAGCAATGAGAGCCTGTCTAGGTTTGGTATCCACCATCCATTTCATCTTCATTATTTACATGTGAGCGTGATATCATTTTATATACAACAAGTGTTCATATGACTCACTGTCCATTCAAAGTATAGAGGATAGCTACCCATGATGACACTAGGGATGTGATATTTGTTATAGCGTGAAAGTGTGGATACCTTACATTGAGTGAATGTTGATATGCTTTACAATCGATTGGGGTTAGGACGAACCTATACTTGGTTCGGGAGGACCAGGTTATTGTGGCTGATGTGGTGGTTACCTAACCTACCCGTGACACAGTTTCAGAAGGGGTGATCACCCATCATCTTGGATGTACGGCGAGTGGAATTGCAGCAACCAATGTCTCCAAGTATAGGGTATGCAGATAGCTCACCTCTTTGTTCCTCTAGCTTTAAAGAGAAAGTCGGTCTCCACCGACTTCGACATATTCATGCTCGAGAGCCTATCATACTAGAGGTTGTCACTCTCTTTAGCTTATTGTATAGCCTATTTTAGACAATGTATTTTTATTGCTCTAAAGAGAGTACTAGGTGGTGCAGTCCATAGGAGACCAATCACGTTAGGTGATTCTTCTTCAAATGCTCATGTTGTTTGTAGACCATTTGACCTAGATAGTTCTAATATCTTATGTGCATGATGACATATTTCCCATTGTGATGCTATTGGGGTCTAGCCCCATGTTACCCGTTTGGTTTCATTGATTTCAAACTTGATGGAATCTTCCTACATATCCACAACTACATATCCACAACAAGTTTAATCATATTAGCTAAATTCACTGCAAGTGGTATCCAAGAAGTAACTACAGGCTCGAGGAGTTATAAAATCTTTTTTTGTAAAAATTCATTTGTTTTATTATGAACTCTTCGCTTTACTTTGTGCAACGATTTGCGTTCTTAGCATCATATCATATTTTTTTCACCGATAGTCTTAAAATTCCTTTTTTATGTCGGCATAGCTTTCTTTGAAGAGTTTTAGGTATTCCAAAGTTTGGACACCCCTTATATCTTTGTGATGTCTTAAAGAATTAAATAGATTTATCCCCTCCATTGTAATACGTTATTTTGATTGTTGTGAAGATAACTCGATCTCCTCTTCTTTATGCTAAAAGTATGCATCTATATTTTACAAAGCAACCGCTCCTGCAAAATTCGCATATGCTCAACCTGCGATATGGTTCCAATTTGAACTTGCAGTGCACATCGCATCCTTGGTCGTTCATTCTCCTAATTTTCATAATAGTAAACTCATGGTCCATATGCGTCATTTATACACTCTCAGGGCATGCAGATAAACTATTTAGCATTTTTTCCTCGGTGCATGTTCGGTTTCAATATAGTGTAAGTGGAGCCAAAGCTTCATAAGAAGATACATTAAAGTTGCAGTTGCGATAATGGTGAGGAAGACACAAAAATGTAATAATAAATGTCTGACAGCGGATAGACCACTGCAGCAAATATGCAAATAATGCAATTACAAGTAATGAAAGTGATTAGGACCGACAATCATAATTTTCGAAATTAAGACATTAAAAAAAAACACTTTTGAAATCAATGAGATTCATAAAAGCTATTTTCAAAAAAAATACCCAAAAATCATGCAAGACAAAAAGTAGCTAATAAATGAAAAATATATATCTCCAAACTTAATTCAATATTAAACAAGTGAATAATTTTGTACCAAACAAAAATCAGGATAATTAAAAGCAGTGAAGTTTATTCTCTTTTTTTTGTCAAAACCTCCCCGTGCGCCAGAAAGCTTTTTTCACTTTGCTTTAAAAGCATTCTTAGTGAAGGTAAGGAAAAGTATCCCTTACGGGATTTGAACCCGAACCCGTGTTTTTGACATGAAAAGATAATGTCTAATACCCCAAGACAAAAGGGACAAAATCATTTCATATTCATAGGTGCGTTTAACGGTGTCATAAATCTACTATATTGTCTCGAGGTGAAAGCATAAAAACAAAAAAAATATTATTTTTGTATTGGTCCATATTCATCAAAATTCTTATTATCCGTTAGGGGGCAAAGTCCGAAACATTATGGAGGCCCCTAAACCGAATGACTCTACGAGTCAGTCGCTTCATCGATGAAAATAGACATCAAAGTCATGAAGGACTTTTTGTATCATCTTTTACTTTCACTCAACAATATACTCAACATATCTGTTTGAGGCTGCAAGCCAAGCATTGTATTGCGCTTGAAGTGTTTTGAAAGATTTTCAAGTAGAATAAAATTTCCTGTTCTATATTTCAAGGTCCGAAGATTGAAACCAACGGGAAAGGCTTTTGCGTACTTGAGATGACGAATTACAGGTTCAAGATTTCCATATCTAGGATCATAGTGCCCCCTTATTTACAAAAGAATCTGGATATACCAAACCTTTATGATATTCAATACTACAAGAGATGTATCTATCCTCCTTCGATTATACCGGATAAATAGTCTACGTAACGCTTCAATGTTCGATTCTCTATCAAAAGTCGAGTTTTTTCCTGATGTTGTTCACAAAGGGAGTGCACACGACGAATAAGATCTTTAGCAGCACTTTGAAAAGAGTCCATTGCAAACAAATTACTATTTTTCTATCGAGATAACTTCAAATTATTTGCTTCAAATTTTTCGTCCTTATCAGATGTATAAAGGCTAAATTTTATATCGATGATGCTATGTAGACCTTCTGGCATATTATGCATATTCTCGCCCACAATTGAAGAAAGGGCCTTCATCAAGCAAAGATCCAAGAAATTCAACCGATATATTTTGCATGAAGCACTTTCTACTAGAGCAATAAATTATCGCACGGTTCTAGAACCTCAATCTTGACTTTAGATGCTCTTAGTTTATCGATATTGTTATCAGAAAAACGAAATATTATGGAAGAATAACACACTTCAAAAGTAAATGATGCTATTTTTTCACAGTGCCAACTAGCCGAATGTAATAACCAAAAGTCATACGAGCATCTTTTTTGAATAAAATATGTAAACTACCATCGGTTTAGAAAAATCCCAATAGGTGATCTAACCTTAGAATTAACGATTCATTAAACAAGTTATCTTTTTGCACAATAGTATTCTTATTTATTATAAAGTATTTCTTTTTGTAAAAACTTGAGGACCACAAAGCCTTTTCACTCTGCTTTTAGAGCAACCGTAGTAACGGTAGGTACTTCGCCTCTTACGGGATTTGAATCCATGTCTCCGACGTTCAAAAAGGCTTTTTTTTCACTACGAAACGAGCAAATAAAAGGGAATGCATCTCCATATAATGCTTATAGAACCATCTAGAAAATCCAAAGCTAGCTATATATATATATATCTCTACGTCCCAGGAGAGCTTCAGCCCTATACCCTATAGGGGAGATAGCCTCCTTCGGCCCTCTCCCATAAAGCTTTGGGGTTCCAAAAGCCTTTTTATTGTTAATTTTTTTTTGTCAGTTTTTTTTTCCTTTCTTTTTTGTCTGAGAGTATCCCAAGCTACAGAGATAGCCTCGTTCGGCCCCTCTCCCATAAAGCTTTGGGGTTCCAAAAGCCTTTTTCTTGTTAGTTTTTTTTTGGTCAGTTTTTTTTCCCTCTCTTTTTTGTCTGACAGTATCCCAAGCTACATGCCTTTTGTCTCGGCTTTAGCTCTATCCCCGACGCATAAATGGGAAAAAATTGACAAAAAATAAAAAATAGAAAAGATTAACAAAGGGAAAAGAAGCCACTAACTTCTCGCGCCTTCTGCTTGCTTCACCGATGATCATACATATTTCTTCCATGTTAAACGAAATACTGATAAATAACCCTCCAAGCATAAAAAGGGACTTGAACCCTCAACCTGAATCTTGGCAAGACTATACTCTACCATTAGGCTATTTCCACCATAAATGAAGATATTTATACATAAATTCGCATAGGATTTTATTTTTTTTTTGTTAATAAAGAGTTATATTCGGATTTTGATAAGGTTATTCGTCCAAATACATGTTAGTTAGACATGAATACCATTAGGGAGTTCACACGAGTGAATTGCAAGAGAATTTAAGCGCGCATTTGGACGGCGGATTGAAGAATCGTCAAGAGAAGGTCGATACCAAGAACCTGCACAACCAGAGCGGGAGTAGTAGGAAGAGATAGCTGCAATGTCAAAGCGTCAAACAAAGGGAGTTCCAGTAGGGCCAAGTGCAACCATGGGGAGAATTCGACCGCTTATTCTGATGGCGGATTGGACTCTGACGGAGCTGCTGAGGTTGAAAAATTTAGGCGGCGCGTTTTTGTCATGGCGATGGGACTATGTGTGTCTGGAGCTGTGTGATGAAGTCCGACGGGGGAAAGCCTTGACAGCAATCGGAAGCAGAGGCCAGCCGGAGAAGTGGGATGCAAGGCTGTGGGTGAAGGCGCTCGAACGCAATCATGAGGAAGACAAAGGTGGCGTTGATTAGGAGGGCTCGGCGATGCACACTGCCTTCATATTTGACGAGCGGAAGTGGTTTAATTCCCGAGAGAGAAAGGGGACGAACGGCTACAAGTTCGACCTAATCAATGATGTCTTCAGGAGGAAGGTGGCTCTCACCTTGAATCAGCTCTTCTCACCTCAAAGAACGACTATCTCAGCATGCACAAGGTGAGAATTGTGGAAGGGTTCATCGGTGGGACCATTCGAGTGAACTGGGGAGAAATCTTCACGAAGAACGTTCAAGCGATGGCGACCAAGTTAAGAGAAGACGATAAGAGTGTAGTCTATCTCTCGTCTTTCTTGGTACATCTGTATGCGAAGATGGAGTGGTTGACTCCTATGGAGAGGCAGTTGTATCGACTGGAGAGTAGACTCTTGGACCTGGGTGTAGACATTGACGATGCCAGTAGTGGGTCTACGAGGAGTTTAGGAATGAGTGCGCCTCCAGAGCCAAGAAGAACCGGAGAAGTCAGGCCAACAACGCAGAGTGAGCCTGATTCGGATTCGGATCTTGAAGTGATCGGCACCTCTCGGAAGCGGAAGAGAGTGGTAGAAGACAGTCCTCCAGCTACATTTATAGTAAGGAAGGTGGATGCATGGAAGAAGAAGATGGAGGAAGTAGCTCCTCTGAAGCAGTCTCGTCCGAAGGTGAAGGCATCAAAGGAGATCGCTGAGCCTATGGCCTCAGTGTTGCAGTTGTCCCATAAGCTAGAAGCTGTGGTGGTCCTGGTGTTGTTGGAGTTGAACGAGATGGGACCTATGTACATACCATGGTGGGACCCTCAAGCCGACGGGTATATGGACTTGATCCAAATGATGAATCGGTTGGCCTTGGGAAAGGAAGATCAATCTATCACTGTTCGGGAGCTGACATAGAATGTGGACAAGTTGTCCAAGGAGAAGACTGAACTTGAGCAGAAGGTCCAAGAGGCGAAGAAGGCCTACGAAGAGGTCTGCCGTATTCGGGATGCGGAGATTCATTTTCGGAGAGAAGGAGAATGCCCATCTTCGGGAGACGGTGCAGGACCTGAAGCGGCGTTTGATTCAAGTGGATTTGGAGGCGACTGCAAAGTTGGAGAACCTTGCTAACATATGTGCGCAACATCTATTCACATGGTGTGATCGAGTTGAGGTGCAGCAGTTAGAGCAGTTGATGACATCGATGGAGAATCCTTGCGATTCGAAGGATCGGAGGAAGGAGATGTATCAAGCCTTGGGTCGAGATTTCCGGGAAGCTATGGCTCTTCATCGACAGAAGATTACTACCGATGTACAAGAGATGCAGTTAGGAATCCATGCATTCACGCAGGCAGCGGAGGTGAGATCGAGCGGCTTAGATCAGCAGAGTAGACTTAGGAGAGTGCAATCCGTGTAGGTAGCAGTTAGAAGTAGCAGTCAGGAAATTCATTATAAATAGTCGTAGGAAATAAAGTGGTGGAATCTTTTCATCTTTGCAAGTGTGCTGGTGAGGAGCTGGTGTATGCAATTCGAGGAGCTGGTGTATGCAAGCTGGTGCAGTGTTGACTCATTCGTGTATGTAGTCATCAGAAGTACTCTATAGAATGTTTTGCCATGACGCAAACTTGTAATGAGAGAGATCTCCATCCCGAAGTAAAGACATTCATTGAAATCATCTTGGTATTGTCTATGGAAGTGATGTTGTGATGGGATCGTGAAGGAATTGATCCGAGTCGATTGCCTTCGTTGTGTGTAACTCTTCGGACACTGCAGTCCACAGTAGTAAAGATGGATTTACTGTGGATTGTAGTACACAGCATACAAGCAACTAATGATGGAGCATTATAGCAACGGGCCCTCATCTTAGCCCTATGAAGGTCATATCATGTTAATGTACTAGATGGCTATATGTTGTTAGAGGAACCTAACCGCCAATTAGGGAGTCAATTGTGGAACATTTGTGTTGGTGTATGGCAATCTATGGATTGTGATGTTTGAGGTGACATAGATGTATCTTGTGATGAGAGATGAATGTGCATAAGAATTGTCAAGACTTATGTAGTGGCACCCCTAGTTAGGTAAGTTTGCGCATGCAAAAGAAGATACAACCATTAGAGCCAATAGTGCAGTTAGCACCTTTCGTTCTAGACCTGCCATTAGGGCCGACATCGCCATTATGAGCCTTAGGACTCTTGGTGTGCATTTTTTCATCTTGAGACTACGAGAGTGTGGATATGATGGATATTAGCTAGTGCGAAAACCTTAGTCTTTGTAGCTCAAAGAGGGTTTGGCTATATTATAATCTCTTTTTTATATGATGGGGTGAGAACAAATGGTTCTATGTATAGATATTGAAATCGTCTTTAATCAAATCAATCTTATACCTATTCGTCCCTTTGTGCTCTCGCGGGTCAAACCACTTCGCTTATCGAAATCAAACCCGGTGTACAAAGTTGAGCCTTTCCAATTAATGCCATAATTTTCCTTGTCATAATCTCGATCAAGCACATTCGCCCACACCACTGCATCCCACAGCTCCGGTCATCCTCTTGTTCCTACTTTGTACAAAGGCTTCTTGCTACAAACTCCTTCACAATGCTTCAGGCACATGTAGTCTCATTACCACATCAAAAGGAATCCTCCCAAGTTCTTCAATCAAATTAGGGCGAATACTAATGAAACTAATCACAAAAATAAAAAATTCTACCTAAAAAAACTGACAACTATGCCCCTACAAATTCAAATGTGAATTAATAATGAGACTTTTGCTCATATAGCAAGACATGGATCTATCTATGTGTTATTAACACTTGATATTGAAAATGATTAAGAAATGGAGACACTAGAAGTGAAAACTGACTTTTAGAATGAAGATCTTAAATAAATCTTCATGGACATAGTGTATGCCTATGAAGCAAAGCTGGTAAGATGTGTTGGTTTGTGCTGGTTGAGGAAAGCACTGTTTACCTTACAGCAAGCTCCTTGAGATGGTGTGGGAAGTTAGATCACTACTTAGTAAGCAACGCTTTCAAATATCACATTCATATTGGGGTATATACAATAAAGATTAATATCTATGAAACGTTTTATATGTCAGCCTGAATATCTTGTTGCCGCTAGGCAATCTGTCAAGACAGTTAGAAATATGATAGCTTATCTCTACTTCATCTTTGAGATGATAGTGATACACCGAGTGAAGTTTTTTGTATGCAGTAGTTTTGATGCAAATAGACATCCGGTTTGATATTACTAAATTAGACAAGTATGCAGAGGAGATGTTAGTGAGGTACAAAATGGATGACGACTCAAAACCGGTCTGACCACCTTTTAGAGTTTGGTTGGAAATAGAGCAAAAACATGAGAGATGAAACTGAGGCTGCAGATGAAAACTTACTCTCTATCCATTAGACCAGAAGGATCACTTACGTTTGCTGTTGTATCCACTAAACCTGATATAGCCCATTCCTAGATTTATCAACCGTCCAACTTCGTCTCAATAAACTTGTGTCAAAAGAAATTTGCGGTCGATGAAGGGCACAGAAAATGTATATATGAAGAACATGAAACATGTGTGTCAAGACACTGAAGGGTCACTCGGATGCAATCTATTTGTTATATCCGTACTAGCACTCTTCTGTAACCCTCTTCATCTCCTTTCGTTCATTCAGGTGGGGAACTTCAGAAATGGGACCCCATTCTAGTCGTTATACTTTCCATGAAGATTTTCTTGAACTGGCGAAAAGTCCAGTGCATCATTTTTTGGGTTATCACTTATAAGAGTTTCTGAAACCTTGCCTTTAAACTTCTTCGTTACCCACTGAAAATACACATACATATCTGTGTAACAGTTGGTTGTTGTTGCTTGCATCACCAGAAACGAACCCTGCCACAGGAGAAACCTGAACTAAACCATGAAAGATAGTAGCAGCATGGACACAGTTGGATCGATCTGTCGCTGGGGGACAGTTGATCTATCCCTCTCTTCGCACCACGTACATAGATGGGCTCCCTCTCTCTCTTCGCTTAAGTGAAGCATCAATACTCTAGCTACTTTAGTATCTATAACAACCTCCGTCCGTGGTTACCGCCTTCCATGACCTTGCATCCAAGACTCAGACAAGAAAAATATAATACAGTGCTAAGCAAAATCCTCATCAAAATGGTTTATACACATCACATTAAAAAATGGTGGGCAACCCAGTCCACAGTTTACGTGAGGCCATGAACAAATTGATCTATTACAAGTCCGCTTAATATTGCTACCGTGTGATTGGTATGGCGAGATTGACAAACAAATCCTTGTCACACTTAAAGCTTACGGAAAGCGAGAGCACAATTGCTTCTTTTTACATAGAAAGATATACACAATTCTAAAGAAGAAATGACACCAAATGTCCTCGATGTGATGGAAACATCCATCCCATTCTCATTGGAATCGGTGCAAGCCAAGTTCTTTCCTTGGCCTGGTTAGC